GGTCTGCACTGGGGTAACCTCTCTGTCTGTGGGTCTGCACTGGGGTAGCCTGTCTGCCTGTGGGTCTGCCCTGGGGTTGCCTCTCTGCCTGTGGGTCTGCACTGGGGTAACCTCTCTGTCTGTGGGTCTGCACTGGGGTAACCTCTCTGCTTGTGGGTCTGCCCTGGGGTAACCTCTCTGTCTGTGGGTCTGCACTGGGGTAGCCTCTCTGTCTGTGGGTCTGCACTGGGGTTGCCTCTCTGCCTGTGGGTCTGCACTGGGGTAACCTCTCTGTCTGTGGGTCTGCACTGGGGTAACCTCTCTGCTTGTGGGTCTGCCCTGGGGTAGCCTCTCTGTCTGTGGGTCTGCACTGGGGTAGCCTGTCTGCCTGTGGTTCTGCCCTGGGGTAACCTCTCTGTCTGTGGGTCTGCACTGGGGTAGCCTCTCTGCCTGTGGGTCTGCACTGGGGTAGCGTCTCTGTCTGTGGGTCTGCACTGTGGTAGCCTCTCTGCCTGTGCGGACTGTGTATCTGCGTGTGTTTTCAGTGTGAGAGAGTGGCTGGATGTAGTTTAGTTAACAGGGAGGGTTCAGGTTCCCTTCTGGAGTCCCTCATAATCATTGCCATGTCGACAAGGGAGTCATCATTAATAGCTACCTTGGTATAGCCACCAGATGATCCCTTCTTGGATCATGATCCTGAATGACACAACACACAGTCTCCCTTTCCCTCTCAGTGTGTAATGAGACTTGTTTTTCCATTGGCCCTAAGCTGCTGATTTGGATGAGGGAACAGAATGTAACATCTCCAAGTTTGCAGATGATACCGAGTTGGGTGGGAGGGTGAACAGTGACGAGGATGCAGAGATCCTTCAGCATGATCTCGACTGGTTGGGTGAGTGGGTAAATCAATGGCAGATGCAGTATAGTTTGTATAAATGTGAAGTTATTCACTTTGGAAGCAAATACAAAAAGGCAGATTACTACCTAAAGGCTGTAAATTGGGAAAGGGGAGTGTGCAGTGGGACCTGGGTGTCCTTGTACACCAGTTGCTGAAGGTAAGCATGCAGGTGCAGCAGGCGGTAAAGTAGGTAAATGGTATGTTGGCCTTCATTGCGAGAGGTTTTGAGTATAGGAGCAGGGATGTGTTGTTGCACTTATACAGGGCTTTGGTGAGGTCATACCTGGAATATCATGTGCAGTTTTGGTCTCCTTTTCTGAGGAAGGATGCTCTTGCTCTCGAGGGAGTGCAGCGAAGGTTTACCAGGCTGATTCCGGGGATGGTGGGACTAACGTATGAGGAGAGATTGACCAGGTTAGGATTGTTTTCACTGGAGTTCAGACAAATGAGGGGGGAATCTCATAGAGACTTATAAAATTCTAACAGGACTGGACAGGGTAGATGCAGGGAGGATGATCCCGATGGTGGGTGTGTCCAGAACCAGGGCTCAGAGTCTGAGGATTCAGGGTAGACAATTTAGGATGGAGATGAGGAGACATTTCTTCACCCAAAGAGTGGTGAGCCTGTGGATTTCATTATCACAGGAAGTAGTTGATGCCAAAACATTGAATGTATTCAAGAGGCAACTAGATATAGCACCTGGGGCAAATAGGACCAAAGGTTATGGGGAGAAAGCAGGATTAGGCTGTTGAACTGGACAATCAGCCATGATCGTGAAGAATGGCGGAGCAGGCTCGAAGGGCCGAATGGCCTCCTGCTGCTGCTATCTTCTGTGTTTCTGTGTATTGCCTCCACCTGATTTCTCTGTAACATTTCAGACTGGGCTAAGTGAGTTGTGGCCTGAATCGTGTCCCCAACATTAAAATCAATGACCCATTAACCCTAACTCTGTCTACCCCTGCCCTGCCCTGCCTGGTGCAGTTAAGTGATCGCACTGCACCCAACATTTCAAAGGGGGCTGCTCCCCAGTCCCCTGGTAGATATCTCCCCCTCCACCAACATCCCAAAAACAGATTTCCTGGACATTGCTCTTTGTGGGATCTTACTGTGTACCAACACGCTGCTACACTTCCTGCATTGCAGCAGCGATGACATTTCCATCTTGCCGGTGAGAGCTTTGGTGCGGCCAGCCGTAGTGAGGGGTGCTATATAAATGTAAACCTCCCTTTCCACTTCCTTGTACTGTCAGTGTGCCTTATTACAGCTGTCAACAACAGATTTGCATTGATGTGGTGCCCTATACGTTGTCAGCTCTCCGAGAGAGCTAGCGAGCAAAGCCTGACCCCAGGCCAGGGGAGGAGAGGTCAGGTCAGGTGACCCCAGACAGTGAGGGACTGTCCTGAAGGAGGGTAGTGAGGGAAGGAGGGAGGGAGAGCTGGAGGGGGAGGCTACTCCTGAGGTTCCAAAGCAGGTGGCTCCGCCTGGTGTGGGAGGGCAATTAAAACGGGAAGTGTACAAAAGGCCAGAATTTGACAAGTTCAGAGATCTCGGAGGGTTGTGGAACTGGGTGAGATGACAGGAGGGCTGAGCAAGCTCTGCCTTTAAAACAAGTTGTTGCCCAAACAAGGACATTAGTTAGGCCACTTTTTTTTATTCATTCACGGGATGAGGGTGTCGCTGGCCAGGCAGCATTTATTGCCCCATCCCTAATTGCCGAGGGGGCATTTAAGAGTCTGCTCCGTTGCTGTGGGTCTGGAGTCACATGTAGGCCAGACCAGGTAAGGATGGCAGTTTCATTCCTGAAAGGGTCTTTAGCAGAGGGTGGTGCGTGTATGGAACGAGCTGCCAGAGGAAGTGGTGGAGGCTGGTACAATTACAACATCTAAAAGGCATCTGGATGGGAACATGAATAGGAAGGAGTTAGAGGGACATGAGCCGAATGTAAGTGGGACTAGATTCAATTAGGATTTCTGGTCTGCATGGATGAGTTGGACCGAAGGGCCTGTTTCCATGCTGTACAACTCAATCACTCTCGGAATAATCTCCAAGATGTTGACACGAAATGTGGGAAAATTGTATAAACTGTGAGGAGGTCAACTTTGATGCGTTGGTGGAGTGGGGGGTTACGAGGCAGATGAGTTCACTGCGGAGAAGTGTGCGGTGATGCACTTTGATCAGAGGTGTATTGAAAAGCAAGATAAAATAAGAAGTAGAATACAATAAGGGATGCAGGACCAGGGATACATGAGGAATATGTTCAATGATCATTGAAAATTGCAGGATACATGGAGAGAGCAGTTAATAAAGCTCACTGTGTTCTTGGTTTTAATAATAGGGATATAGAGAACAAGGGTCCGGTGATACTGAACTTGTAAAAGACATTTGTTAGTCCTCACCTCGAGTATTCTCTACGGTTGTGGGCATCTCATTGTGGATCAATTGGATTTGGGAATGTCGGGAAGGTGGAGCAGTGGGAAGGAGAGATACGTAGAAGGCTAGGTGTGAAAGCATTAGAGAGAGAGTGCAGAGGTGATTTACAAGAATGGTTCCAGGAACAAGATACTTCAGTGCTGAAGACAGGGGCAGCACGATGGCTCAGTGGTTAGCACTGCTGTCTCACAGCACCGGGAACTCAGGATCGATTCCAGCCTCAGGCTGTGTGGGGTTTGCACATTTTCCCCGTGTCAGCATGGGTTTCCACCCACAGTCCAAAGATGTGCAGGTTAGGGTGGATTGGCCATGCTAAATTGCCTGTAGTGTCCAGGGATGTGCAGGCTAGATGGGTTTGTCATAGGAGATGAGGAGTTATGGAGATAGTGTCTGGATGGGGTGCCTATTGGAGGGTTGGGGTGGACTTGATGGGCTGAATGGCCTCTTTCTGCACTGTAGGAATACTATGAAACTGAAGAAGTTGGGACTGTTTTGCCTGGAGAGAAGAAGGTTCAGAGGAGATGTATTGTCTGTCTGAGGAAGGATGTTCTGGTTATGGAGGCATGTGAAAAATGTTACTAAACTGACTCCTGGGATGGCAGGACTGAAGTATAGAGAGAGACTGAATTGCTAAGGACTGGAATTTAGAAGAATGGGAGGGTGTGGGATCTAATAGAAACCAATAAAACTCTAATAGGATGAGACAAGGTAAACACAGGAAAGGTTTTAACCCAATGACTGGGACATCCAGAACCAGGGGTCACAGTCTAAGGATACAGGGTAGGACGAAGATGCAGAGAAATGTCTTCACCCAGAGAGTGGGGAGCCTGTAGAACTTTCTGTCACAAAAAGTGGTTGAGGCCAAAACATTGAATGTTTTCAAGAAGGATTTAGAGTTCTTAGGGCCAATGGAAT